TCCTTTACTATTACCCTGTAAGTTCAATCTCGCTCTCGCTGGGGCATGTTTGGCCTGATGACTGGAGGATGCAGAAAATGCTGCATCTGGAACATGGCCATTCTCCAAACCAAGAGGAAGGGAGCAGCGGTACACTAAATTGAAAGAAAGCCACACTGTCAACTTTAAATTTTAAGAAGAAATTGCACAAAGATCAGAGACATATCCTTTATTGCGTCACCAGCCGCTCTTCTTTCAGCGCCGTGTTCGCACAGAGGGTTCGCCGGAAAACTACTGTACCTTTTAGGGCCCTCTATATGAAACCACAATGAGCGCAAATATAATATAAAACTGTCCCCCTAAGGTGAGGTGAATAGTGGTGCTATATGTACCGGACCGCAAAGCGTCGAGGTCTATATCTAGCACTATTCACAGACCCTGGCCCAGTCAGCAGAATGAAAATAGAAAAAGCACTAATTTTTTAAATAAACGACGTCATTTATTGAGTACTTTGTTTAAGATTTAATTGACAGTGTTTACAGATATTTCGGGGATTTTTTCCCTTTGCTAAGTGCATTTTTATGATTTTGTTGCAATTAAAAAGAAAATAATTTTCAACCAACCAGTAAACACTGACAAGGCTAATTTCGTAGCTTTCTTGGTGATTTGTTAGTACAGTCGCCTCATTTATTGCTAAAATTTCGTCTTCCAAAACTCTCGCGAAACGAGACTCCATTCTAAACAGTGAAGAAGCGGGAGACTTAGCAAAGACAACGCGGCGTCAGTGAAAACCTCAAAACGCAAAAGCGCGGGAAAAAGACTGAACGCCACTTTTGGTGCACAATTTGCCACTCTGTCATTTGTCGAGTCAGCTTTCAGATTTGCCCTTGCCGTCGTCGATAATGACTATCGTCACCTTTTTGCTAAATCTGCCAATGGTTTTCCGAGTTACTTGAACCAATCAAAACGCGCCAAATTTCCATCCACTGCATGATTTCATACCGGTACTTAAGCTTCATATACATCCACTGACAGGTTTCAAATGTTGCCATAATCCATACATTACTGATTAGGTAAAAACTATAAAGAGTTTTTGTAATTGCCGCAAATCGCTAAAGATAGTCAAGATAACTCTGACGGCAGCAGATCTTAACTTAGAAAAACAAGCTACAATAGCCCGTTTAAAGAGTTAATTATCCAATAAAAGACTGTTATTTAAACGTCACTTGTAATCACCTAACAACGGATTCGCGTAAGTACTTCTTTTGTGGAGTGAAATTTGATTGCCTTGTTCGTGATTTCCACGATTCAGTAGCTGAAAGAAAATGAACAAAAGTACCCTAATTCAAGAACTGATATGCATGCTCAATAAATATTTATGCCATTAAATTTCACAATTTTGTTACTTTTAAAATATTTAGAAGTTGATTTAATTTGTTTGTTTGTTTTTTTTGCACCACGTACTGATATATTATATTAAAACTCGTAGTACTCTGTGGCTAACCGTATTTTTTTCTGCTAATATTTTCTAATAAGTATGAAACCAAAATTAAATTGTCGATTTGTGACCATATAATGAATTAACCACCCTTCTTCAAGAATCAAACGTGCCATAAAACAAGAGATCGAAAGGCAAAATTGATGAAATAAGTATTAATTACAAACATAAAGTTTCCACTTTTTTACCTTTCCGACTGTTTCTTTTGCTTGAGAGAGAAACATCACCGAAACGAAGATTAAAGCGAAACTGGTGATCAACAAACGAGCCATTCTTTTCTTTAAAAATCTGATTGAAGTTACTTCTTCAACTGAAACTGAGAAAATGGCAAATGCCTCGAGAAAGAAACACTATTTAAAGTTGACTACTTGCGTGAAAAAACTGAAAATTCTTGTAAGATCGGTGTTGACTTGAATGCTATTTGTTTTTTTTTGATAACTTGAAAATTTTCGTACAATTGCAATTAACATATACGTAATACTACTGCCTGCACCCAGCTCTCGAATGACAATTTTTTGAAATCCTCTTTTTTATTCCATGGCAGATGAAACTCATTTTTCAAACTTCTTTTATAATAAAGTCTACTCTTTTACCTTCCCGGCATTTTAGATAATGGTGACTTTATGAAGATAGCGTTTTTCTTGGGTCGTGAGTATGCTTTGTCACAGTGTTTGTATGACGACATTTTACCACGACTGACCGAAGACCGAGTTCGTTTATGACTTGATAAAATAACTGATAACCTAAAAAATCTAAATATTATTTAATAATAACATGGCTAAACTATTTTGCCGAAACAGCTATCATTGTACTTACGGGGTATTGAGCGACAATTGCACGGATGCATGCATGATATTATTTAGATGTTAATAAAACAGACATAAGAAATGGAAGGCAAGACTTCTTTACAAGTTTTTTTTTTTTTACTCGGCTTACAAGTAAAGGAACGGAAGTATGTCAAATTCAATATTTTTATATATTTTTTGCCACATTCAGTTCAATAGCCACAGTTTGATATTTTAATGATTTCCAAACGCTTTCTTTTTACATGTACTAAGTACTAAGAAGAACAGAGCACTGAAATATTAACCAACAACATGCATTTCTGCTTTCCCTTATTTTTTCAGCATTCGTCGATCAAAGCTGAGTAGTTTTTATCAGGATTTCATTAAACCATTAAAAAATGCCTAGTAAAAGTGTTGGATCTGAAGCAACATGGATCCAGCGAAATCACATTGTTGATTTAGAGAGTCAGGAAGTAAATCGACTATAGGAGCCGCTATTTACTTAACAATATTAACTTGAAATTTTTCGAGCGACATGTTCACACCGATAGTGCTCAGCTGAGTGCAGCAATCCCAAGTAGATGAACAATCCACACATCACACCGCCAAACTAAAGAAGCTTATCAGTTCCATAATAAATAAAAAAAACTCGAGAGATCGAAATGAATCTTGTCATGTTACTCTGCAATTTTTATTACCATTTTTATAATCTGTGCGGAGACCTTACTCTCCATCTTCTCTTATAAATGGATCCCGTGCACCCTTAACAGTATCATTGTAAAATAACCGTTGTTTTTTTTACTGATTTTCTTCGATATTGCTGATCAATCGAAAACATCAATTTTTTTCCATGATCGAGACGATAACCATACGTTCCTATATGACCTATATTGAAAGTCAGTCAAAAAATAAGTTGTGTGCGAATTTATACTGCAAAGTGGTACAAGAATCATTTTGTTAAAAATCGTTTACTAGTTTAAAGAAGTGTTGTTCAGTTTTTCGAATTAAAATAAATGATTGGCAAAGAAACCAGGAAAGAGTGGGAAAATTTCGTTTTAATGGGCCTTTTCCCTGACGATACATGTTGGCTAAGTCGCCATTAATTCCTTCTTCTGAGTTGGAACCTGCTAAAATTTTAGGATAGTCACATTAAATTTCGCTTTAACTGCGAATTCCTTAGACAGAGACCTGAGAAATTATAAAGAAAAAATTTTTTTAAAGACAGTCAAATCAATTTATTTAGCGCCAAGTTAAAAAAGGGTCAATAGAGAAAGAAAAAAATCTGTTTTAGATAAGCCAAGAGAAAAGTTTCAAAAGTTAAAAGTTATTTGATCAATGCTTTACTCTTTAACAAGCAATATGAAAAAGGTTGGTAATACATTGCAAAATTAATAGCTTCTCACCTTCGAAGAAATTTCCTGAGTACATAAGATCAGCAACCATACAACGATAAAAAGCGGAACGAAAAACCGAGCCATTCTTTTAGACGTTTTCTATGAGTAAGGTCCGAGGAACGTGAAGGGTTTTCCAACACGAAAAATCTGGTCGGAATTTATTTACAAAGCATTGTGTTATTGAAGTTCCCTCGTCAAAGGGAGAGAGAGGACTTAGTACACTTAGAGGGGTAGGGGAAGGGGAAATACGAAAGGATGTACCATACCATGCAATGATTGCGAAGAGAAAACCAATGATCAAAACATTAATCTATTGGTTTCAGAGATCGGAATTTAAGTTTTCTCGTAAACAATTCAAAGTAGACAGACTGCAAATTATAGTCGTTGCTAAAAAATATATCTACGTGTCCCAACTGTTCATCAGTAGGATGCCTAAAATGGGTGCAATTCCACAATTGGTTTCACATATTGTCTTCATGGATTTTTCTACTGAAGTTTTTTTCTCGTGCTATTTGCGTGTAATAGGCAATTTTATGATAGGGGATGCAATCGAAGTCACGCTACTTTTTAGTACGTCGATCGGGCGTCGGCAATAAAATACTCTTGGACAAAATGTTACTAAAACATATCCACCAAATTCAGTCAAAACAAAGGCCACGTTGAATTATTTGTCAGTGCTTTGTGTATTTGTAACTGAATAACTCGAGCGGGGTTCTTAGATTAGCCAGTTTTCTGATTGAGTGTGAATTTATAGCTCAGTATATTTTAGTGAGTAACTGATCTTCCCAATAGACAAAAGTGAAGGGCTGACTTATTTGTTGAGTTAATTAGTCAGCAGTCTGCTAGTTTCATGAAATTAGGTAAAAAATGGAAACAAAAGATCTCTATAAAGTACTTTTTACTGAACAAATCCGCTCAGCTTTTGCTTGACTGGTCCCCAAAATTTGTACTTGTTTTATCTGAACTGACGAATTTCCTTAATGGGTGCTCGAATCACTCTGATCTAATATAACATTTAGTTTTCTGGCGATTTCTAATCAGTTAACTTTCGGATCTAAGACCTCAGCAATCAGAATTTGAAAAAAAATTAAAATTAAAATAAATTCTAAGCCGAGTGTTCGTTCGTTTTGGCCAGTTCGTGGCTATGAATAAAACCCCCTTCAGAGCCTCTTTGGCGTATTCTGCTGTGTACTGTACTTATCTGATGCTTGAACTTCGCAAAAATTGCCGATGCCAGGTATTTGGGTAATCCGTCTTGCATAAAATTCTTTATATTCCATTTTCAGAAAAAAAGTATAATAGTTTTCAATCTAACCAACGAAAAACACTGCCTCTGATCAAGTTTAAAACTTGACGAAGATGATTACAGACTTTTGAGTAGCGCAAGGTACTTTATACAAACGCGCGCGTCAAATAATAGCTTCTTAACGTCTGTAATATTTTAAATAAAAATAGACGTTTCTCGATTATCCTCCCATTAATTCCGGAATGAGTATGGTTTGATATTTAGAAGATTGCAGCATACGTCTCTCCTTCGCTTTTGCCTGCTGGCACTTTTTTAAAAAGAAAACAATCACAGTTTTTTGTGAGTAGATAAATTATCGATATTTTCTAATTACACGCCGATGCCATCGTAGGACTTGAAAAAATTTCCATACCTGGTGTGATGTCCATTCTCACGTCAGACAACGAGGATACAAATTCTTATAACCAAAAGGCAAATAGTTAGCCGGAAATTTAACATCATTTGTTGAATTCTTTTGCAGGAAACGGAGAAAACTGTATAGTAGCCGCACGCGAACGGAAATCACAGAGAACGTGAAAGATCTCGCTTAATACATTTTAAAATTATTCATGGGTTATTGCTTCAAGTCAGTTTTGTTATTGATGGTTTTCAGTCAAAGTCAAAATTAATTAGACAGTTTCGAATTGAAATAGTCACGGTAAATTTTTTGGATATACTTTCGTAGACTTTCACTCTAAGCGTATCTAATGACGACCTCAATGTTGGGTAGTCCGCGAGAAAAAAGTAATAACCGAGAGCGGAAGAACATTGACATAATCTGATCAAACTGTTGAGGACAATTGCGACTAGAAAAGAAATAGCCTGTATTCTAATCTAGTGACGCGAGTGTAGCAATGTAAACATTTAAACTGATAGGCAAATTTATTCTAAATTTCCTTCCTCGTCTCTGAACGTGGACGAAACCAAAACCTGTCGCATTGCAAGTTTTTTTCCTTGCGCCTCCCAGCTTTAACGCAGTGGTAGTGACGGAGAATGTAAATACTTTCCTATTGGTATGAACGCACGTGAGCCGCTATGGCGTTAATTGACTCTATTGTTATTAGGTATATAAGGTTTTGACAGTTGTAATGTATTCATCTCAGCTCTCGAACTATCAACTTTTATTTTTATATCTTACTTTATTCATCTTTCGATTGATTTTTTTCCTTTAACCCCCAGAGGTTGTTCGACCGCATCGGTTTGGGAATACGTTCCCATTTTTCTCCCATTGGGTTTTTGGGTTTTCGTATTAGGCGGCGTACGTGAATAGGTTAGCCTGAGTGACTTTATTAAGGAATATTTGTATACCATTCTTAAGCTATGATGTTGAGATTTGTATGTTATTTGGACGGCATTAAACACTCAGGCTCCACAGTTCGAGCTGCACACCCATTCCCGTCTCTTAGTCGTGAATATAAATGGGAACAACAAATCGACTGGGACTCTGCGACATCTATCTATTCTACAGACTACTCAGTCAACGACTCAATTGCTTTACTAACTTTAATAGGACAAACGCCACTGAATCGTAGTCAAAAGTTACCAGCACCGTACAAACGACTTATTGACTGAATCAAGCAAACCTAACTACGAGAGAACAACTGTACAACTGTGAGCGACTGACTGATGGGAAAGGGGAATGTGACAAATTCCCCGTAAATTAAGTCCAGCGTACACAACCTTATGCTGCATATAAATCCATCATTTAATTCGAAAGTCGAAGAGTTGCATTTACCTTCAGCCCAGTTTACGATATCTCACCCTACAAACAGAGTGGCTTTTCTTTGTTACTGCAGTCCTGCGAGAGAGAGTTCGATATCGAGCTTTTCGCAGGTGAGCCATTAACCATTTAAGAAGCGAGAAGGGAATGGGGCCGAGTAAACTTTCTAAAAGACTTCTGGGAAATTTTCTGGGACCGTTACTAGTGACTAGGTAAAAATGGCCAATAGCCTAACGGGCAAGTTCCTAGCAACGATCCTAGTAACGACTGCGGGGCACATCTCGGCTCCAATTCCCTTCTTTCAAAAAATGTCTACGCATGCGCCGCGACATAAATCACGTGGTCGATTTCGGGCAAAGTCATTGGCTTAGAGGCAAAATCCCCGCGAAACGTTGTCAACATGAAAGAACAAATGGCAGCTTTTTTTGTCAGTGGTAGTGTTATGGTTTTGTTGCCACTGTGAGAAATCGAAAATTATTTTGATTGAAAATTTTAGTGGTATGTGTTGTCTAGTAGATAATGTATCCCTGAACTGTCAGACAAACACTTTGGCTCGATCCATTTAGCCGAGATCGGCGTTGTGATCACTGGATGCGAGGAGAGGACATGCTAAAAAGGTGGGTAATTTTCTCCTTTTATGTTTAGTGCAAGTTTCGTGCAACTCGATACAACAAGAAATTATATAGCATTGGAAGAAAAATTCTTGGGCTTTGTTTTGGTATATGAATTAGCGTGTACCGAGGTGCACGGAAGCGGCAGTTTTGTAAAACGTATAGACCCTTTTTGTGCTATAAATCGACACGATTGTGTTCTACAGCTTGGCTGACAATTCAGCCGGT